ATTTCAGAGTCCCTGGAAGGCAGCATTTTAATGTTCTGCTTGAAAAATTAGACCCCGGTGAGCGTCCGGTGCAGCCGGAGAGATGGATGACTTTGGCTCGGAACTGGCCATCGTCTTTGAAAGGGTAACCTAGAAGTCGTGATGGGAGCGAACTTGGCTATCGACCCCGCAGTTTTAAAAAATTATTCTGCTGACTCACGGCCACCTTACTTCAACTTCACGGTCGGGTTCAGATTTTCCTACGTCATTGAAGACTGGCTGGTCCTTAAGGACAGAGAAACACCAGGAAGGTGTTGCTATGTGTCATTTCCCCCGTCAGAGAGAAAAAAATAGGAGCATCCATGGAAAACCACATTTGTGGACTGGAGATATTTTGCACGCATGGTGGGTAAAATAATTTAAATCCAAGTGTGGGTGAGCTTCCAATTGTACTAATTGGAGAAGGGCAGCCGACATGGACAATGCAGAGAAGAAAAAACACTAGCCAGTCAATCACGTTTGAAACAGCTGTTTAAACCTCCAGTGGAGTCGCATGTGGTGGCCCAGTGGCCTGTGGGAGACGTCAGAGAGGTCACAGGGCACCCGAGGGTCCGGGCTGCGACGTGGGCCCAGCCAGAGCCTCCCGTGGCAGACCTGCCTGGGAAAGCCATCCGGGGAGGCCTGCTCAACTCCCGACACGGAGAAACCAAACCTGGATCTCGAACTTCTAGCTTCCAGAACTGCGAAAATAGGTTTCTGTCCGTTACGCCACCCAGTCTGGGGCGTTGCGCTATGGAAGCCCAGCCCAACCAAGACAGGGGGCTTCTAAGGTTCCGGTAACATTTTGATTTTTCAGCTGGGTGGTAGGTCCCCTGATGCTTATTTTATTGTTTCTAAAATTGTGCTAACACATTTTATATAAATCTCAATTAGGAAAATAGAATTGTGACTGCCAAAACATTTTCGGCTTATTGATTAGCATTTAATTGATTTATTCAGCAAATGCAGTTCTTTCAGAATTCAGTAAAAGACGCAGTTCCATTAAGGTAATCAATACATCATTTTTAAGAAAAAAATTGCTGTATTTAACCGGCACTGGTTCATTATCCCCCATGTATAAAAAGCAAAAGAAAATGAAATGAATACATGCTTTTAAACTAAGAAATGTAACGCAATTAGTGCTTTGGAATTCAAAGAGCTCTCTGAATTCCTTCTCTATTGATTTCTCTGGTCCGACTCAGATCTCCACTAAAATATACAGATAGAGATCTTTTTTAGCCTCCCGAGGGAAAATGTATTCCTTTGAAAATGTTGACACTGGAATGTTAGAACAGCTCCTGTAGGGACTTTATGTGGAATTAATACAAATGTTAGTGTTTAAACTAGCTCAATTCTTTGGGGGAGATGAATGGGTACTGCAAACATCTTATTTTTATTCACAAATACGATTGTCAGGATTTCTCTTTAAAATAGCGATGTGCGTCAATATCTTAGACAAACACAATTTATAATTAAGTTATTTACACAGACATATATAAAACACAAATATATATACATACACTGGGTACTTCATGACAGAAAAATGACACATATTTTTGTCCTAATATTTCACTGGAAACATAATTAATATCTTGTTTTTCTAAGATGTAATTAATGAGTATAAGTTGCAAGGCCTGGAGAGAACATGCTATGTATTTGTAATTAATCCGAGCGTCAGAAACTGCAGGCAGATTTGGGGAGAAGGCCCTGTAGCAGACTCAGAAGCTGATACCTGTTGAGAGACACTTTTGCACACAACAGTAAAATCCAAAGTGATGTGTGTAACGTCATAGCAGAGAAACAGTCATACTGATTTTCAAAAGTTCAGCCAATACTCAGAAATCCATACAATTCTTATAAGCACCAGACAATGTCAAAATATATCATTAAGAAGTGTGGTGTTCACCAGATCACTAAAGGTGCAGCCATATGCTAGAATGAATATATAAAAAAAACAAGATCTGCTTAAACCAACAAAATATACATAAGCATCACATGTACATGAGAATTCACGAATTTAACTCTCAAGCTTAAGGAATTACTTAAAAAATAGTATCACCCTGACTGGCCAGCATGGCTCATTGAATGGAGCATCGACCCAGGCACCAAGAGGTTGCAGGTTCAATTCCTGATCAAGACACATGCCCTGGTTGTGGGCTCAATCCCCAGTAGGGGGCGTGCAGGAGGTAGCCAATTGATGTTTCTCTCTCATCCGTGTTTCTCTCTCTCTCCCCCTTCTCTCTCTTTTTAAAAAATCAATAAAAAACATTTAAAAATAATATCACTCATTAATTAAAATTGAGAATCACTTTCTTAAAGCACATAAAAAATACTTTGGGCACCAATATCTGAACTAGTCTGTAAGTCAGGCAACGGTTGGAGGAGTCCTTTTGCTGAGTCAGAGGCTGAGGAAGAGGGACGATGCAGCGAACGTCCAGGGCAGGTGGCCCGGCTCAGCCCGCCCTCTGCGGTCCGGGAAGGTGGCCCGGCTCAGCCCGCCGTCCACGGTAATCGCAGGCGGTTGCATTGAGTCTTGCAATGTGTCCGGTGCGACTGGTGAACTGATTTTTTTAAACTTTGCTTTAATGCATTTAAATGTAATAGCCGTATGTGGCTAATGGCTACCACATTCACACGGGAAACTACAAGGCGTCAAAGGGCCTCCCTGGGCGGGAACTGGAGAGCGGTTCACCCTGAGATTCTAGCCCAGGTACCTGGCATCCGTGAATGCCGGTTGCAACATTTTCTCAGAACCCCAGTGGCCTTCCACTGTGATTTTTGTTTAAATTATGTTTCACGTTAAGTAATTATGTAACATTGGCTATTGCAGTCTGCAAACTATTGTCTCTCTCTCCCCCTATTTTTGGTTAAAATGTAGCAGCACGTGGTCAGTTAAGTCAGTGTAGCTGAAACGCTAGGCTGGAGACAAGTCTCTTGCACTCTGGGGTTTAAGGGCACCTTTAAAATGTCGGAAGTTAGAAAACGACCTATGAATGGACAGAGGAAAGACCCCAGCGCCGACGTCACATGGGCGGCGGGTGTCCGAACAGGGCTGAGCCGCTGGTGCACAGGGAGGCCGACCCAGGGCGGGGCGTGCGGGGCGCGCCTCCTTCAGTGGGGCCCCAGCTCTCCACCTGCTCTCGGTGAGCCCCTGGGACCCTCCTTTCCTGGGCTGTGCGGCCTTCGGCCCCTCCCTGCGTGACTGCATCCTTTGTGAACTATCCCGTCCTCCGCCCACCCCGCAGCAGCCTGGACCGTCGGGCATCGCTCCAGGCTCCCCCGGACACGGTCGTCACGGCATCAGGATGAAAACCCAGCGCTCTGTGTGAAAAGGAACATGACAGTTCCCGTTCTCTCAGTGAGAAGTGCCCATGGACAGTAAAGCCCCATTCGAGACGGGTTGGCTGGGAGAACTTGGAGGAGGCAGAGTCGGCGCCGACTGTCAGTCTGCAGAATCATCGGGGTGCCCACGGGGGAGGCAGCACAGCGGGCCCCGTAATATACTCGAGGGCCGGCAACAGATGCCCCTCGGGGAAGGACTTCGAATCGCTGACCGGGGCTCACAGGAGGGCGGGGCACTTATTTGACACCGGGTGTAGGTGGGAGGGAACCCGGGGTAGAGATATGGGCTCGAGGACAGCCACAGGGGTATGTTCTTGGGGTGGGCCAAGAAACTCATTGGGGTTTCGGGGGCAGAACAGAGAGTCTAGGCGCCTGCTTCCCACTGACAGAAGGACACACGTGAGCAGCTGGGGAGAGAAGGTGTCCTTTGTGGAGCTGGGAGGCTGAGGTGTTGACTGTGGGAAGGAGGGTAGAGTCAAGAAGGGTCCCCAGGGCATGTGGCCAAAGGAAAGGACGCAGAGACCAGGGTCTCTGGCCATGTCAGCGCCTGTCAGGATGGTGATGCGTTTTCTTAGACTTGTTCCGGTGGCCTGGTCTCCTCTGCTCGGGTTCTCGGAATGGTCCCCAAAGGAAAAATTATGTTTCTCTCCCTCCACTGGATCTGCCCGTGGAGCAGAGTCAAATACAGGGGAACCTCAGTTCTCCGACTTAATTCCTTCTGGAAGGCAGTTTGAGAAGCAATTTGTTCAAAAACCGAATCATTTTTATTCCATTGGAAATCATGTACATTGAATTAATTTGCTCCAGACCCCCAAACGAGTCCCTGTTTTAACCTTTCCTGTATATGTTACGTGTCTAATGTACTGTTTAATCTCTAAACAAACACTTACTCTTAGATGTCTCGAACCCCTGACTGGCCGTAAAGGAGTCTCTCGGCACTTTGCCCGCCTGTCTCGGGACACCTTGCCGCACTGGGCCTGGCCAGCTGCTTCCCCTTGCTCCAAATCCACGTTTTCTCTCCCTGCAGTTGGCTCTGATCCGGTTTTCTTCACACCCTTAGCAACATTAGCACTGGTGATGGCCTCTTTATGGTTTAAAATTGTACTAATCATCCACTAGCAACAAAATAACAAAAAAAAACTCCAAAAAATAGTCACAGCACAATTTCCTTAGATGTTTTGTTGTTGTTTCTTTTTTTTTTTTAGAGAGAGATAGAAACATCAATTGGCCGCCTCCTGCATGCCTCCTACTGGGGATCGGGCCCACAACCTGGGCACGTGCCCTGACCGGGAATCAAACTGGCGACCTCTTGGTGCAGGGTCAACGCTCAACCACTGAGCCACACCGGCCGGACTCTCCTTAGATGTTAACAACACCAGGTTTAGAGATAAACGGGCTCATAGGACCACATTCTCTCCTTTGCGGCCTGAGAGACTCTTGGTCATGCTGTTGTATCAGCCTCAAGGGGTCGTCAGGCCGCAAGACCGAAGCTTGTTCAACAGCCAAGACATTTTTTCCCTGAACAACTTGGTCGAGAACCGAATTGTTCGAGACAGGAGATGTTCGAGATCTGAGGTTTGACCGCATTGGCAAGTCAAAGCGAAATGTTTTTCAACCGACTCTTCTTGTTTATCTCGCAGAATCATCCAGAAGTGTTGAATTTTCGGCTACAACTGGAAAGCAGAGTACTGATCATAAACCTGGAAAGAAATGAGTAAGTCGTGTTCATTCTTGCTTATGGCATGCTGGGGACATTGAGACGCTGGGGACAGAGTCGTGCTGATGTGTGTTGGCCTTTACAGAGATGGGGCTGAGGATGTGCATTCATAGTCCAGATTTGCATTGGAGGCTGGACTTACCTTCAAACAGTGACCCAATGGGAAATAAAAAAAAGTACCACTCTAAAAGAGAACTTTATAACACAGCAGGATTTTCACAGGGTTCTTCTTCTAAGCATCCGGTTCTGTTCAAATAACAGTGTTGGAAGTAGTTCACGTTGGACAATTCCCGGGTTATATAAGGAGAAACGGCTTCAAATGGGTAAAAATTCTTTTTTTCCCGGAGAAGTACCAAGAGTTTATTTTATCTTCCCGAGTTTGTCTCCACTGGTATAAAGTATTTATTTTGTCTTTTTTATTTAAAAATGTGACCCCTTTTAAATAAAATTATATAAATTTCCAGAAAAGGGCCCTATATTTTTTTTCCTGAAGCACGTGGCGATTGTTACATATTTTGTGTGCCTTCCCAGTCGAAGACAGTCCTTAAGTAAAAGCAACCCATGTTCTTGAAATCCGTCCCAGGGGGTGGCTGTCCCCATGGGCTCCTCAGACGTCAGGGGCCCTCGCTGTTCGGTTTGACTGGTATCGGAAGAGACTTGAGCTCTCCGAACAAGCAGTCTGTATTTAAAGCTGTGACTTGGTTCCCTAGTCCTACTTCATTCTCTCTTCCTGTTTCCCACCTGTCCGTGAATTGCCTGGGGTTTCTATTGTTTGTTTCTGTTTTGTTTTGTTTTTTTGCTAAAATGACCATTGCACTGGAATGAGTTCTGCCAGAGATGCCCAGTCACGAAAATCTGCATGTTTACCCTTCACCACCGAGCCGTTGTACGCAGTCAACAGTGTGTTTTTGGCTTTCTTTGGGACTCAGTGATCTTAAAACAGGGTTCCGGGCACACAGCTTGGATAATCAGGAAGCTGAACAGAAGCCTGGATGTTGCTTTTGATATGTCTCTCTCAGCACAGGAAACATTTTCATGCTGTTTTTTTTCCACTTAAGAATATCGTGGGACATTTTCATTTTTGACCATGGCTGCTTGTATATGGTTTTAAAAATATCTCAGTGGCCACAACTAGGAATTTGCTGGAAGATAGAAAGAAAGTAAGGCTCCTGGTGGAGGTGCACTTCCTCAATGGGGTGTGGGGAGCGGCCGTGGACTTGGGGGGCACCCTTCTCGCTGTCAGGCCGCTGGAGGAACAGGGTGACGCGTGAGTGAGGCCCACCCTGGCCCTTCAGAGGTACAGGCAGAGGAGCTGAAACAGACTTACTAAAACCGTGAGCTCTTTGTTGTTACTGCAAGAGGAATACATGTCCGGTGCTGTAAGGGAAAAAAGAGCAAAGAGTCAAAAAAAAAAAAAAGTCACTCCTACCAAACGCAGTCCCGGTCACTGTTTTGGTGGATGTTCACACAGCGCTCTTATACGTGAGGTTTGCTCCTGAAGTCGTCTCGGTTGATATCGTAGTGTGTGTGCAATTAGGTGTTCCCTGTCTTCGTTTGCTTTATAATAGACACACTTTCCTCATAAAAACACCCTTCTGAGAGCCCATGTGGCCCTCTGGGCTATAAAACGGCCTCCTGGCCTGGCCTTGGTGCCCCCTGAGAACGGGGGCCCCGATCAGGCAGACAGCCCACTGCACGTGTCAGAGAGCATTCGCTCGCTCCCGTTCGGGGCCTTTCACACAGTCACCTCAAGAGCAGAGAAGCGGGAACCCTCCCACTCTCCCTCCTGCTCTGTCTCTTTCCAGCCTCACTGTCAACCTTTTCTTTTAATCTTCACCCCAGGACATTTTTCCATTTTTTGTTCAGATAGAGTGGGAGGAAGGGAGAGAGAGAAACATCAACATGAAAGGGACACATCGAGAGGCTGCCACCCGCACGACCAACCAGGGCCGGGAACAAACTGCAACCGAGGTACGTGCTCTTAGTGGGAACCGAACCCGGGTCTCTCTGGACCGCAGGCCGACACTCTAACCGCTGAGCCAAACCGGCCAGGGTTCAACCTATCTTGTGGAAAACCTCTGGAGGGGATTTAGTGTGTTTCTATGACATTCTGTGGTTTTGCTTTAATTACACTACTTATACCAACTGTAGAGATCACATCCTGATAAAAGTAACAGTTCACAGCTAGAGCGTGCTAGTTTTGCTATTTTAATAATGCAGTCCCCAAAGTACTTCGGCATGAGACTTTTCTGGGAAAAGATTTCACACACAGCCCTGGTCGGTTTGGCTCAGCGGTTGGAGCGTCGGCCCGCAGACCAGAGAGTCCCGGGTTCGGTTCCCCCTAAGGGCACGTACCTCAGTTGCAGTTAGTCCCCGACCCCGGGTGGGGTTGTGTGGGTGGCGACCACTCGATGATTCTCTCTCTTCCTCCCTCTCTCCCTCCCACTCTATCTGAAGATAAATGCAAAAATGTCCTCGGATGAGGATGAAAAAATTAAATTCCACACACACACGCGTCTGTTTTCCATGGACTCACTTTTGAGACAGTGAACACCAAAAAAAAAAAATCTACCATTTTATAAATCAAGTGAGACACTCTTTTGTTACTAGCTCTTAATGCTATTGGACACAAAAGGTAATCAAGTATCTAGTATAAAATAAAGTTTTTAATTTACATAATCTTTGGCCAAATATATCCAATGAGAGAATTTACGCAAATGAAGCTACAAGCACCCAAAGGTGAATGTGTCAGCAAGAGTGTTTTCAGTATTTAAGGAGCAGCACAGTAGAGAGCTCGGCCATCAGAGGTAAGCTGGTTGCACCCTGGTTGGTGCCTGCAGGCTGGGAGGCAGTCCTGTGTGCAAGGATGTTCACTGCAGAGTGTTTCACCTGGAAATACATCAATGGGAGACTAGTTAGATAAATTACGAGTCAGCTGTGAAATAGTGTGACACAGCAATTCAGAGCAGAGGTCTTTATTATTATGAGTAGCATGTCACAGGATAGTTTACATGGCCTTCGGGTCTTATTTTTAGATTATGCACAGGAATATCTCCTCTGAGTTGTGCGATTATGGAAAACGTTTGCTTTCTTGATTGTCTTCATGTTTTTTGTGTGTGTGTTTTTATTTTTATTTTTTGTTATTCCCCATCCGAGGATATGTTTCCACTGATTTTTAGAGACAGTGAAAGGGAGGGTGGTGTGGGGAGTGAGAGAGACACGTCGATTGGCTGCCTCCTGCACAACCCCGACCAGGGCCGGGCATCACACCTGCGATCCAGGTGCCTGCCCTTGCCTGGGAATCGAACTGGAAACCCTTCGGTCCCTGGGCTGATGCTCTAACCTGTGAGCCCAGCCAGCCAGGGTGACTGCCTTCATATTTACAACAGAAAATATCGCTCTTAGAGTTAGGAGAAATGTTTATATTGAAGGGAAAATGCTGCTGTAAAAGCTTAAAAACCATTGAAAAGAAAAATGCTGACGTACGTATTGCTCATGCGCAGGGAACTCGGTTCTGGGGAGGCCTCGAGCAACTTTCGAAGGCTCTGCCTGTCGCAACTTCTGCAAACGCTCTACCCATTGACTGTTGGGGCTTTAAATTCCCAGGAATCTGTTTTAATGAAAAACCTGTGTAGAAATCACAACTGAAATCGAGGTGGTCTCTGTGCCACCGGGACCCCTCACACCTCCTCCTGGAAGCCCGCCTTTCGTGACGCAGGGTTGAGTTCGCATCAGGTAGCCGTTTCAGGGAACCTGCTTATTTGCTTCGAGCATCCTAATTTGTGCCGAGATCCGGGGCTGCTCACTTAAAACCTGTGTTTGCAGAGCTGTAATTGAATGTTCCAAGAAACCCAAGGCTTCCCCGGAGAAGCATTTGTCTGCTCGGAGCTGTAGGGCCATTTTATAACTTCCATAACTCCGCGGGTCCCCCTGGACGCTCAGGCCGGCCTCAGCCAGGTGTGCCGTGTGACTGCCTCTTTGATCACCGTGCTTTATGGCGCAGCGGGCCAGCTTGGACATCCGTTCCCCCGGGTGAGGGTAATTGCGAGTGATGGCAACAGATTGCACCCCCTCCGCCGCTCACCCCACCGCCGTCTGTTTTCAAGCCGGGCCCGTCGCTGATGGAAGGCAGTTGCTGGGGAAATCCACGGCCCGCTGAATTTATATTCGGGGTGTCTCTGAGCCTTGGCTTTTCTTCTGTCTGGAGTAATTGCGGATCGTTTGTTAGGGGCAACTCTAGTTAATACTCACTCCAGAACAGCAGCAGAGAGGCCGTGTCGTGCTTCTCCCGTGTGGACATAACTGTCGGAGGGCATTTCTCTGACAGCGTCCCCAGCGTCCTGTGGCGCAGGGTGGGGAGATGTGGACATAGCACTGGACAGGTTCGTAGCTGGCTGGATAAGCCCCAGAGGACGCTGACCCGGTCCATGCTGACCCACGCCGTGTCACCCGGCCGGTCCGGCTTGCCGTCGGTGGCTGTGCACAGGCCTCGTCCTGGCCCGCGGATCTGCCAGTCACCTCTATGAAGACATAATGCACTGACCACCCTTCCTGACAACCCAGAGCCCAGGGGATAACTGTGCTCTTGGCGGCGGAGTCTGGATTATGGGGATTTCAGGCGTTTGGATCAATGGGTCAGAACGAACAAGAGGAGATTTAATGGGGATAAATGCAAAGTCCCGTGCTTGGGTTAACAGAAAAATAAACAGTGTAAGTTCAGAAGGAAGTTCACTAGTCGTTCTTGTGAATGAGCCCCGCAAACTCAATCTGAGCCCCTGGGGTGACGGGGTGGCTAAGAAGTGACTGTTCCCTGTGTGTGCAGGGGTTCCCGGTGGGTCCTACACCGCGGCGCTCGGCTGGTCAGGCCACATCCAGGGCCCTGAGCCCCTGCTGTTCCGAGCTGTTGAGGCTGAGAGCTGCCCACCACTGTTTCCTTTCTGCTGGGGGACTCTGCTCTCCCCTCCTCCCAACCAGACACGTCCCTGCGGTCGGGGCAG